GTTCATTCCACAATTTTGCTGACAGGACAGGAAAGGTTTTCCACCAAAAGTTGCTAACTTGAAATTTGGAACTGTAAGCCGACACTGGGCTTGTGAGCGAAGTGATCAAGCTGGTTTGTAGTGCTGGAGCAGAGTGGGCTGCTATGTATCATTGTGACAACACCATTTTTTAAAATTAATAATTCAGATATTTAACTGATGTTATGTTTTCTATGTTTTTTACGCTAACACTAATAATCTTTGTTTTCAAACGCTATTGTGTAGAACGGCAATTGTTCGATTTTGATCGACTCCAGCGCTACACTGTAGGTTAATTCCTCTTTATAGAACACAAATAAAACATTATTTTTGTTAATTCTTCATTTAGGAGAACACGATCAATTGCAGATTGGGAATCATCTCGTCATGGAACATTTGATTCGTGTTACGGTTTCTGGAGATCACCGGTTTCTGCCTACCCAAGCGCAACTAATACGCTGAACCATCTAAAACACGATATGGAACCATTTTCAGCCTAATCTATGCATCAGTAATACATAATGGCTGAATATCAAGCGTACTACAGATTTTAAATAGAAAAAAAATGTTATTTGTTTTTCAAGTGCTAGCGCCCTTTTATAACTCCACAGTGCCCTCTAGCGGAGCGGGAGTGTTAAATCTGTGAGAGGTTGCGCTATGTTTACGTCCAAGAGATGCTCGTTCGCGTGTGGGGTTTGGAAAAAATCAATATTTCATTGCGACGGGAATTATTTCATCATTAAAACAATGCAAATATCGAGTCGCTCGATAAACTATTTGTTAATGCAAATTCACAGCATTATGGCGGAGAAATTTTTCAAAACAACACGCTTAATATGTGAATAATTTAGAAATTAATGTTCTTTACAGGACTAAACAACGCTTTCAGAAATATGAAAGCGATTCACGTTTGGTCCCTAATGATTCATACAAACCTAATAAATCTGCTTAATTGATAAAAACATTTTGATGTTTTTGTATATTGCTAAGGCAAATATTTGCACTCGGGACTTCCGTCTTCGCGAGATAATTTCATTTATATTTGTCGTAATTCGTGAATAAAATATTTCAAGAAAACACGAAATTTATAATTTATGAGCGTTATCATTACGATGGAAAATGAGTTAAAAGGACGAAGACTGCGCAAAGCATTATGGGTTTCAGCACGCGACAGCAGGGCAAATCTTATAGATAAAATATATGTTATAGGTTGTATTATGGCTAGCCAAGCGTAATACAATTCACGATATTTAAAGAAATGTGATGATATTTGTTCACAGCTTATCTCAGTAGAAGAAACTCCATATGAAACGGTTTTTGATTTTTGATGAGTTATTTAATTGTCTCGACGAATATCAGCCAGTATCTTCTCGACAGATCGTGATCATGTAGACATTTCTAATTAATGCATGATTATATACTCATGCCAATAATGGTTGTCACCCCCTTAATTTTTTTTAATTGGAGAGGGGTGGGGTGTGAGGTGTGTGGGGGTTGGGGTGGGGAGGGTGACAACCATTATTGGCATGAGTATATATCGACTTCGAGAGATTGCATATATATTCCATAATGCAAACTTGTAAACCTCATATCATTGAATGCATGTTTTGACGTGCATTAAATGATATGAGGTCAAAACATGCACGTCAAAACATGCATTAATAATATATACGGTACACGTGCTGAATAACAGTTCTACAACGTAACCATTTATACTAGTGTTATTCAGCGTCAGGTTTAATTATTTAGAGACAAATGTTTCTGGATTTATTTAGAAACTGTAGGTCAAACGGTGAAAAGTGACATTTCCTTCTCAACCAGTTCAAAAAGCTCTGTAGATTTAACAATAAGCCGTGGAGCTGCGCGGAGTTGAAAAAAGCTCAGGTGTAGCGGAGTGAATAGGAGATCGATAGTCAGCGCATTAGCAGCAGCCGAGCGGGGCCCCTATTGCCGTGTAGGGAGCTTGTACGCCATAAGGACACTGTCCTCCTCTCTAATAATCTTTCTTTGACGTTATTCTCGGTTCGAGGGTATTGGGCAGGTGTTCGCTATGGCGAAGCGTTCTCTACCGCTTTGACACCTTTACTCTATGTCTCATCAGGAAAATTCGATTTGCCGAAGTGATGGTCGGTTATATCGGCTAGGTTTTGCCGAATCAATTGCTGTTAACTACCGAACGCGTGAAAAGAAAAACTGTTGACCACCACGTATCGATCGATTAGACAGGCCACACCGGGAAAGGAACGAACCCCGTACAATGCCTCTAAATTAGAAGCCGTTCGGATCGGCTACATATGCTACCGAAGTCTCGGTTTCCCCGAGGGGCGATATATCATGCCTCTATCAAGCCGCTTCATCTATCCCTAGTCAAATATCAATGAAACAAATTGTAGTGTTGAAAGTCAATTACAGCCGACAAACAGACAAGACGTGGTAGAACAGAGTTATAAGGCTTCTTCTCCCTTCTCCGCCAACAAAGACAAATCCCTCCACATTTGTCACTGTGGGCAAAGGGGCAGAGAGTGTTATTGTGATCGGATCTGTTTTTCACTACGATTCTAAACCCATTGATATCAAACACTACCAATATTCCCAGGAACGATTGAAAACCATCATTACTCAGTCCACTACTCGTGGAACGTAACTGTGAAGATATTCTAATTAACGGTTGCATAATAATGAATTGTTCTTCATGCCGCATCTCCAGGAAGCTGCTGATCATGACGCAAGATGCTGACATTTGTTCAATTGTTTACAGCTGTGTCGAACAACAGTTAACCTGGCGTTGTAAACATTACTTTGATGTCCCTGTGTGGCGTAACATAGCTCCATAATAGGCAAGAGAGAATAGGGGGGAATTTGGACGTTAATATACCTAAACACCCGCCACAATGGGGTAGTTTACAAGCATCGCGGCTTGATTCAAGTCCGAGTTGCTCTATTGAAGTTTTTAATTAGCAGGGGAACTTCCCACAGCTTGATTTATGAGGTGAATTTACAGGACAGTGGAATACCTAGCCTCCACTAACTGTCGACCCTTCAGACTCAATCACAATTGCCAGTCTTTGAAATTAGCTGCAAATTACACACACTCGAATGGTGGTAGTGTTTGGTGATTGAGTAATAGCAAACACACTGTAAGCATTCAATGCGCTGTGTTTCCCAACCGGCCAAATTCCCAATATTAGGATTAGCTTTGTATGGAAATGCCTCCTTCCTCTGTCTAACTTGACGGTTTGGGACAAGCTAAGCAATGTCCACGCAGCAGTTAATACCAAGCTTCCCGCTTCATTTAGATCGAAAACATTGGGTTTTGTTCCTATCGGAACTGCAGACAAAGGAAAATGAAAAACAGGGTTGAATTGGAAGTGTTTGCTGAGAAAACGACTTGTCTGGTTACAATAGAGGGAATCATTGGTGACCTGAATGGCTCATGAGGTTATTGGCAAACATGACCCTACGGGCAGGGTCGGCTGTGGGACAATTCAGGTTCAGCTGCTAAACGTATTGTCACAAATCATTGATCACCTGTCCAGAGTGACCAGTGCCGTTTACACTTCTGAATAGCATGGGTGTCAAATCCGATAGAAAGGTAATACCATCCTTTGTAAGTTCAGTCCGATCGTGACAACGCTGGAGTTTACTGGATGTGAACAGTGGCACATGGACATTGTCCAGCTGAGGTCAAGCCGGTTTAAACAACGCGCGGTCAGGTAAGCACACTTCACGCCTACATGAAGAACAGTGGTATCAGACAGTCTGACCACTAACCAGTTAATATCAAATATCAAAACTTCATTATAAATCAAGAACTGTGTATGTGGGCCATATCATAACATCACAACATACCGAAACCTGTTCTGGTTTACAACAAATATGATCGCTACGCGATTCCATCTTTGGTAAATGTCTCAAACTGGCATACTTGACACAAACGACCGCAAAGTGTCACCTGCTTTAACCCTGATCCGTCACCAGAGTCGAACACAAAGAAAAACGAATTTACTTTTCGACTGCAGTTAGAAGGAAGGCAAATAAAAGGCTATAGATCAATCTAGCCGAGAGTCGATCCTGTCAGCTTGCTCCAAGAAGGCCACAATATCGAATACCCATACATCATGTTCGTAACTTAGCCAAGCAACAGTTATACGATAAAGAAGCATGCTTGTCCAAATGCCGGGGTTTATACTGTAACCCGTCATTGACTAAGGATCAATGACCAATAGCTTCAATACCTCCCTTTACCAGAACCGATATAACACGGAGTACTGGGCCGAAATTCGCAGTCTTTTCAAGCCGATTATCATTCCTTTTGTCCGTCCCGTTGTGGCCTGTTTTCAAATTAGAGAGGGGAAATTCTTACTTAATTTTTCATTTCCCGTGTTAATTTGAGCTAGAAATAAAGAGCCGCATTGAGAACTGAAATCTCTAAGGGTTGGTGAATAGAGCTGTAGTGGTCAGGACGAATTACTATAGAGAGCATGACGAATGAGACTGGGAACGACACACACAGACCGAATGACACACAGTGTGGTGATACGGTGCCAGTGCTAATGGTATTTGCTCGCGTTTAGTTTACGACAGCAGTACTGGAATAGTCCAGGAACCTTGGAAAATCACCGAGCCGTGGCGAGAGCTGATTGAAAGCAGGAATCAGTTGTCCAGAGTTATAATACACGCCCCTGGGGGACTGAGATTAGCAAGATACGGGCATCATCTCAACTCTGGTCTCCTGGTCCAGAAAAAAGACCATCAGATCTGTCTCCGGACTTTAATAGTTTCAAACACTGACGAACCCATTTCCTACGATCCCATCAAACATGTCTCGATCCCGGTCTAGAGTTCCCTAAAGAATTGTTATAATCTAGTTACTACAGCCTGTCGCTGATCCACTAATAACAGGGTTCATGTCAAACAACCAAGGGTCAGTTGGTCAGAGATGAGTTGAGTATCCATTCCTGTGTTTGTATTATGGTACTTACCTAATGACAGCCACACGTTGAATGATAACAGTAAAATCCTCAGTAAGGTGTCCATTCCGACTGTTTGAAATGAGAGGGATACCATGGTCGACTTACTCCTAAGCTCTCGTCACCTTGTCACCATCACATAGAGGTTAGACATAGGCTGGACACTGCCTCCAACTCCGGTACAATACACGAGTACGATCAGGAATTATTTCTGATATGAACGGAGAAGCTCTGTTGTCATCGACAGCGTTCTGTTCGTTGAACAGCTCCAGAACATCGACACAGACGACTAATACTGGACTCCTGTTTGAGAAGCTTCTACAGAATACTGTTACTGCGTGTACATATCCATCAGTAATGGTCACTGCTTTCTAGAACGCTGAAGACACCCCCATAGCATATAGTTCGCGTCTTTCAGTACGCAGGCTAGCGACAGACTGAATAGCTGCCTGTCGAAGTGATCGCGCTGGAGCTGAACGCTACTCGCTACTGACAACGACCAATACGAAGGCTTGGGAACGGGCGTGATCGTGCATAAATTTACACGTGAGTTTACCATCAGAGCGCAACGTCAAAGCCGCTTATGAGGCACGCATAGTGAATTACATTTGATTGGAAGTCCGATATAATCGCGATCTTGGACTGTAGTGTTATCGTCAGATAATCCCTCGTCGCGCGCGATAAGACAAGCACATGGCATTTGTTGGTGTCTCTCGAGGGCGGAGCATGGCTGTGTTTGACGGGGCGTACAAAAGCGCCGACAGCAGAAGGCGGGGTGGAGATAATGATTGACAGTTCTCGACTACAGTGGGGCGGGATCTGGCAAACAACCTACACACACACCGTTCTGAGATTTTTCGCGTTCCAATCAGAGTACTAGCTCGTGGGAAATCGATAAACATTACTTTCAACAGTAAACAAGAAAACCATTACACTGCCTCTGGAAATGTAAGAAACATCCCTGGCTACAACTACACGAGAGAACCGGGCTTGGTTGATATGGAGAACCCAGGTATTTTGTATTATCAGGAGCAAGCATTTCTTACCTCGTTATGTATCTGTAAACATATAACGCATCGAGAGTAAATAAAGCCTTACGTAACCAGCGTTGACGTGTACGCTTAATGAAGGCGGTTCGCGAGCTAGATTAATCCACAGCTACCGTACAAGTTGGTTCTGTTTCGGTTCCGAAGCGGTACAAAAGCGTTTGTCACAGCAACAAGCTCTCATTAACAGTCACGTGTGATGCCATGTATTATGCAATATGAGGTTAATATGTTGCTTGGATCCCCTCAGCTCAGCTTGTTAACACGATCTTGAGCGTCGCAGCATCATTCAAACAGCAGAGACAATAATTGTACAAAATATGTTTTGAACTGTTTTTAAAGATACAGCTGTAGGGTTTAAAGTTTGGACTAGTTTAAACGAGTATATTAGAGTTAAGGCTAAACTTGAATGGACTATAATGAAGAAAATCGCTTTTCTTATAATTAACGGGGTTATGTATTACGGATGTGAAACATTATATTGAAAGTCGGTTTTACCGTTGAAACCTATCCTATATTGACTTGTTTGTCGTTGAATGCATGTTAGGTAATATACATTGAGCCAGTTGTTAAGAAAACTTGATATTAACTGACGTACGATCAAAAGGGTAAGTAATGAAAATATTTAATCCTTAATCCGATGTTCAAGATTCGGTCAAAGCGGTACGTAAAACAAAATCTTTAATCTTAAAAACAAAATCTTTAATCTTCAATTTTTTAACGATGCAGATGTTTCGATACAAATTCATTTTGCTGTGAAAGTCTATCCACTGCTAGTATTTGTTTTGATTAAAGTGTCAACATATCCTGTCAGCCAGCACTGTCTACCTAGGAACTGCTGCCATACAAACCCATGTTTGTATATGTTTTATACAAGGAGCTAAATCGAAATGTTAAAGCACATTGATAAACTCGTACTTAAATCTTTCAGTAAGCTAATATACGTAAGGAACTGTGAGTTGTGCATACGTATTTTAGATATGAAGCTTGTAATACATAATATGTTTTATATGTTACTTTATAAAATTATGATTTGTGTATGCATGTGCGGGTAGATTTCAGTAAATGTCGATCAGAAAGTTTGGATCCTAAAATATTTACATTTAATTCACATCGAAGTAACGAAGGGGTAACAATTTGTTTTCAGATTCAATAAAATCAACAATCACGTTGTTGGGTCATTTGATTGTCTGGTTCACCAACAGATGCCTGCTGGCCGGCGTTGGCAGTAGACAAATACTTATTTTCGTGTAAATTGTGGAGGGACAGTTGCTTACCCTTTTCGAGATCACCTGGTGTCATCACTGATTTGTACCTCTATTTTTGCCTTTTATTTAAGAGAAAGAGATAGCAGTTATTACCGTTGCTTAATTTTGTACATGTACCTGGAAATCAAAATTAGTTAATAAGGAATACATGTAAAGTCAAACTGAACTGTAAATGCTAAAGATGTATTATAAACTAGCTCAGTACGACCAGTTTGAATTGCTTGTCGATGCGCACCGAGAGAAAGTCAATAACTGTCTCACACTCAGCCGAATGACCCCGATTTGTGACTAGAGTGAGTGAGTGAGTTCAGTTTTACGCCGCTTTTGATAGTATTCCAGCAATATCACGGCGGGGGACACACCAGAAATGGGTTTCAAACATTGTACCCATATGGGGAATCGAACACGGGTCTTCGGTGTGACGAGCGAACACTTTAACCACCGCCCATTTGATTACAAATCTACCAAATTACAATCATACTTGTATTGTCAATCGGGTTTCCAAACTCAAGATGTGCTAAACAGTAAAATCAACATACAGCCTCGAAAGGTAGTTATACAGTCGTCAACGTTTTTCGACGTCATTGCCGTGACGTTTACCTCTCTTGCCAACGACGTTACAGGGCGTTCATCCATGATTGACGTTACGAAAGAAGCCCGACACCGCTTTAGGCCAGTTAGCCCTTAAAGGGTTAAGGTGTTAAGGCGCAGGGAATGTTGATAAGTGATAAGGTATCGCATTGCAGATTCGTGTGGTTGTTGTTATGTGCTTTTAAAAGCCCATGCCAACATGTGTGATAAATATCTGTGTTGATTACAGATAAGTATGTTTGCTCCTGTCAAAGTTTAAGTGATAAATAATAAATCTATAGATAAATAATAAAATTCATTAAAACTATTACAACGATGATGACGATGGTGATAACAAAGATGATGATGTCGACGAAGATGACGATAACAAAGATAATGATAATGATGATGATGATGATGACGTCAAAGAAGAAGTAGAAGATGATGACGCTTTTGCTCCACAGATTCCTATTTTCACAATAAACCCCTACCCAAGATAAACCAGGCTTGGTACTTATCGATTAAATGAGTATTGGTATAGAAAGGAATGTTACACCTCTCGTTTTCCCTTTTAAAACGGTTTTACATCGGTAAATTGAAATTGAAACGTGTGTTGCCATCACTTGTAAATACTGCCACTGCAAGCCACAATATGAAGCCTAAATTCTAAATATATATTTTGTTGAATATAGGTAATATTCACATAACATTAGATAGAAATGATTAGAAAAATGGAGGTGGGGGGTAGGGGTAGGGAGGGTGAGGAACATGAGAATAGATACAGATTGAGAAGCCCGTGGCTAGTAAAAATCCAGTCGGGCCAGTAAATCTCCACAGTGAGTGGCCCGTCTGGCTAGTGAATTGTCATGGGATCTTTTTTGTAAATATATCACCCTCTCCGAATAAACAGGCAAGATTATGGCCTGATAAAAATGTTCATCTTATTAGCAGCTTAATGATGAAACCCGTGTCATGCCGACAATATCTTATTCTTATCTATTTTTAAAATCTTTTGCTAAGTTTCTACGTTCAAATTTCGGGCTAGTGAATTATTTTGTGGGTTAGTAACTTTGAGGCATACCTAGCCCGACTTGCTAGCAAAATTGGGAAGCTATTTTGCACACTGGTTATAAGATTTCACGCCTCTTTCACCCCATTTCAGCTGCACCATTATAACAGAATAATAACACGAGGAAGCCCCAAGTTGTGTATACATATATGTAGATACAGAATTACCATGAATTACTCATTTATTGATAGCTTGTCGCGTTTATCTAGTCACAGTATGATAAAAGATTAATCATATACTCATCAACGTAAGTTAACTGCGCTCCGCTTCAAATACTAATCCTTTCTAGATATGCAAAATAGATGACTCATAATATCATCTAGATTCATGGCATCTGGCGATGCTCGTATGTCAAGTGACATTAATGTTAAACATATATATGAGACACGACCTTGAAGGGTGTTAAAGAGTCCCGCCGAGCGTTTCAAACTAGCTGCTTGAAACTAACTGAAATCACTCGAAAGTTCAGCTGTTTTCCATGAATATACGGCTTCATATATTAATAGGCATCCTGTTTTAGAAAGGTGACCCCGAGCCCTAATTCGGACTCAGGAACAGATGTCTGGCACGTAAATATTGAACACCAAATACTGGAACACCAAGGTTTCTGTTGACATAAAGTATCTATTACCCGGGGCAAATGATTTGTGTTAAGATAATGGCTTCAACAAACAATTTATTCTGCGAAGTTTATATCTTCTTGGAGTGAAGCCTTACTGATTACTGAACCCCATGGATATTTTAATTAGTCTTTTCAAGTGACGGACACACAGCCTTTGATGGTGATATTCTTGGGACCTGAATGTGTGCAACTGCCTGGGTGGAGATGATTTTGAACGAATAGTTTCTCATGTTGCTAGGCAACTGGAGTATGTTGAGCTTTACTTAAAGTTAAAAACTTCATACTTCAAGTACATCGGGGCGGTGGGGTAGCCTAATGGTTAAAGCGTTGGCTCGTCACGCCGAAGACTCGGGTTCGAATCCCCACATGGGCACAATGTGTGGAGCCCATTTCTGGTGTCCCCCGCCGTGATGTTGCTGGAATATTGCTTAAAGCGGCGTAAAACCAAACTCAGTCAGTCAGTCAGTCAGTCAAGTACATCAGTTGCCTGATGTTACCCTAGAATATGAAATAGATAAGCATCCCGCTCAAATGGGGAGCAATACTTGGTGTTATTAGGGAAAGCATCGTTGAAGCATGGACTAACATCTAGTCTCTGAAATGAACATATTTTACAGAAAAAAACGGTTCTAAATTAAATTCAGAAAATATTTTAAAGGTGTCAAGACACTGTTTTCATTTTCAGCCTGAAACACTGGCAATTTAGACTTGCCACATATTCTAGACGTGCTTTGGTTGCATTGGGTATATTTGTTTTAAGGTGTTTATGATAGACTATGCTGAAGCACAAAGTCTGACCAAAAGTAGTAACCCATACCTAATTGGGATTAAGTTCTTGAATAGCAACACCAACCGGGTTTATTGTCTATTGAACACGGGGACTGGGGGTAAAGAAAATAACAAGCTCTAGTTTAAAATTGCGTGAGTGAGGAGTTCGGTGTAACGGTACCTTTGACAGCATGGTAATTACATCAATTCAATTCAATTCTTTATTCTCATAAACCACCTTGGTGGTACAA